TATTGCAAGATTCCTCTGTCTATAATAAGGTCTATGCTGTCATCAGGTGGTGCAGATAATATACCCCGTGAGAGCAGGGGTTTTTCATTCTGTTCAACAATCTCTTTCATTCTCTCACCATGCTTGGCACATAGTAAGCCAAGACTTGATTCAGAACGGGATTTATTTGAGCCCACTACTGGTATGGAATGAATAATAGGGTGTCTCTTTCTGGTTTAAAGTCTTTTGGGGGTCAGTCTTGAAATATGTTTATACATTAAATTCTAATATTGTCTGGGATTTTTCTACCCTAATCTACTTGAATATAAACCATTTTTAGTAGAGATTAAAATTAATTTTACCTTAGAGATCATAATAAAGTCATTATTTTACACAATTTAATAAAATGAATCATTAAGATTCAACCAGAAACGACCTCTTGGAGGGTTGTTGTGAGAAGCTGGCCTAAGTAGGTAACACAATCAAAATATCAGAGAAATTGATGGTTGCTAGAATGCCAAGTTCTGAGGTTGTTACATAGATCAACCTTTAGTTCTTATCAAGATTTTCTTCCATTTTCTGTTTTTCTATAGAAGAAGATAGCAGCACAAAATTAAGAACAAATGGGACTTTTGACTAGGGATAATCAAGTCTTGATAATGAAAATGTGCATTGCATTGAAATTGGCAGTTTATAAACTGCTTTAATATTTCACATACCCTATTTCCTTTTATCTGAACAACCCAATAATTAGGTGAAATAATTCTTTTTTGCACAGATAAGTTATGGACAGTTGCTACTTCCCATATGCTTCCATTCCTTTGTTACATTGCTTTTATTGGCATTATCACATTAAAACATAATTTCCTATTTAAATTCTCATTACCTCCACTTAACTAGAAGCACCTCAAGGACAGGACCTGTACCTTCATTTTCATCATCAAACTGCCAGGTTTGGTTTTTAAAAAAGTATTAGTGAGGACCTTCTCTCTTGCAAGTGACAGAAGTTCACTTCAAACTAGCTTTTCTTTTCTTTTCTTTTTTCGATTCATTCATATTGTTGGCATGTCTAGGGAACAGCTGGCTTGCCTGGCTCACTTTACTTACTTTCTCAGTAGACATGCTGGCTCCTGCAATCCCAAAACTACATCATTACAACTTGTAATAGAAAAGAAAGACCCTTTCTTTTACATTATCCATCTGGGACACATGACAATCTGGAAATAAAACAGAGAGGGCTGGGCACATGTGAAGCACGGTGATGGGTCCAGTAAAAAGTCCATCTTCCTATTTGAATAAAGGAGAAGAAATACAGGGAAGATAAAAACAAAAGACATCAACTATGAAATTGTATGCAAGTTAATAGGGCTATGCAGGTAGCAACATAAGGATCCAAACCTGGTTTTTTGACATCAGATGTAGTATGTTTCCCCCTAAATAAAAGGAAAAGATGTTTTAAAAAGGAAAGATGGAAATATTGACTAGAAATGATTTATCAGGCCTTTTCACATCAAATTACTGTGAAAATCAAAACAATAACTTTCTGGCTGCATAAATGTAAGGAAAATTTCCAGATGGACTCTGACTTGTGCCACCCAAATCCCCCTTCAAAACTGAAGAACTTATTCCCCCAACTACTGGGAATGCTGGCAGCTATTCCCCTAGCTGAGGGCAGTTCCTAAGAAGGGTAGTCAACTGTCAGCCAAAGTCCATGCAGGATTGTAAATTACCTCCTGCCACAAGCCCTAACTTGGGCATTTCTGAAAGCCACTCCATTTCAGAGCTCCCTGCAGGGCTCCAATGAGATGTATCACAGCCCAGGCCTCCTTGACTGGTGGGCATTTTTCTTTCTCCCTTCCCTTCTCACACAAGTGTTATTCCTGAGAGCAGTCCCCAAGAAGCTTCCTGTTCTCCAGCCTCTATCTCAGTCTGCTTCCCTGAGAACCCAGCTTTCTATAGCTTAGTATGTTTTTGTTGGCCATGAGGACAACTAAAGTTTGACTAAATAGTAACTGAAAACAGTTAAAAGTTATGGGGAAAGGTATTTATATGTTATATTTCTTAATATTTTTATTTAAAATGTTCCCCTGTTTTAACAAAATGTCTTACTACTAGCTAACATGTTTTATACTCATAGAGTTTGGTTAGCTAAAAAAAAAAAAAAAGTCATTAAGAGCAGTGACAATATATTTATCTGGGTTCTCCAATAACTGCCCATAAAAGAAACAAGCAGATTAGACTAAGAGACTATAATCTAGGTGGAGTGCAGAATGTTCTGGCTATATACATTTACTGGGGGAGAGAGAGGATCCATAATCTTCATGATTTTCTCAAAGGAGTCTGTGACACAACAAAAGTCAAGAAATTGGAGCACTGGTTCCCAATATGATTCTCTTAAGAATCATAGGGTGAGAAAATCCCTAGGCTTTGTCTTGAGAGTTGCTGATTCCATAGGAATGGGTTTGAGCTCAGAATTCTTAATTTTCAGCAAGTTCTCTAGATGATTCCAAAAAAATAAAAATCAGTTGACCACAATCTAAAAAATACCATCCTAAGGATAATAGTTCTATATTAGTTTCTATTGCTAGCATAACAAATTATCAAAATTTAGAGGCTTATACCACACAAATTATTTTATTGTTCTGTAGGTCAGAAATCTGAAATAGTGTCTTCATGGGCTAAATCAAGGTATCAGCATGGTTGTGTTCTTTTCTAGTGGCTCTGGTGGACAATCCATTCCCTTGCCACCTTCACCTTCTGGAGGTCATCCAGCTTTCTTCACTCACAATCCCTTTCCTCATCTTCAAAGTCAGCAACATTGCTTCTCGCTGAAGTTTCTGAAAGTCTCAACCCATTCTTCAGGAGTCAGATCTCACTTTAATTTTCTTCTTCTTTCTCCCTCTTCCAATTTTAGGAACTGTGTGATTATACTGGACTCAACCAAATAGTATGGGATAATCTCCCTATTTAAGGTCAGCTGATTAACAACCTTCGTTCCATCTGTAGCTTTATTTTGCCTTTGGTATGTAACCTAGCATATTCTTAGATCACAGAGATTAGGATGTGGACATTTTGGGGAGGCCATTTTCTGCTTACCACAAGTGTAGAGCTAGGGCTGGGTCTGGAGCTCACAGACCCCTCAAGCCCATTGTCCAGACTGGGTCACAAACCCTTCACAAGCAGGTCTATGATTTGGTAACTGGAAAAAAGATCCTTGGAGCCTTGGTTGAAGAAAGAGTAGTTTTTATTTCTGCACACACACATCTAGGAGCTAGGCAGTCCAAAGAGAAACTCAGAAACTCTGGGGTGGGACCCAGGCTTTTGTATTTTGTGTAACTTTCCCAAGTGATTTGGATTCACACCAAAGTTAGAGAACATCTGCTTAGTGTGTACATAGTCCTGTTATTATACTTCCACCTGTGTCTACCAAGTCCCGTCAGATTTAACCCCGTGTTTAATCTGTGCTTCAGTGTCTTACACCCTTATATACTTTCTGACTTGGATATTTAATGAATACATAAAATCTTTATTATTCCAGCTCTTGTATCTCTTGCTCTGCTGCAGCTGAGGCTTTTATTCTTTTAACCTGCTTTGATGGTGACATCCTGGGGTTATAATACAATTAGGAATAAGAAATATAAGTAGAATTTACACAAGATATCTATTCTGAAGAGTTTGAGAGCCATCAGATAACTGAAAATATAATATTTATGGTAATTGTTTTAAAATAAAAGCAATCAGAAGAAGAAAGCAAAGGTTATTTTTTACAGCTAATTTGTAATCTTGCAAATATAAACTTTTGTTATGAGTAATTGCCAGTTTCCAAATTTGTGGCTAATTGTTTTCACGTTCTATGGGCTTATTATTTTGTGTTCACTTGGTAATGTATTGAAAAATACATGAATTAATCATTGCCCCAGAGAGGCAAATTTACATGCATGCAATCACATACAGTTAAGGATTTTTCATAAAAAGTTCCTTACAATCCCATTTATTTCTTATCTTTCTCCAATATTTTGCCTTTAAACATTTTATGCCTTGTATATATAATGAAAAATATAGCTTTTGATATAGTAAAAGCTAATCTAGTATATTAAGATTATGTTGTGCCAGGTACACCTGCTAATCATGCTTATCAGTTCAGATAACTTTTTCTATAAAGAATCAATGTGGTGCTAAGAAGAAATGTTTGCAACATTTCAGACAATTAATGTTAATTAAAAATGCATCAAAGTACAAATTTTAAATACTTTAGACTATTTTTTACTTTCCTTATTTAAATGTGAAGTGGGCACTGAACTTTTAAGTTGATAACCTTTCAGAACATTGCTTATTTTAGAATGGGCATGTTACTATTTTGCTAATAATGATACATTCAAAAACACTGCTTAACATTTTCTAAAATGCTGAAATATATTTTGAAAACTTGTACTTTACTAACATATTACATTCTCCATACTTCTGAACAGAAAATTGTCTCCCACCAGGTTTTTCATATTTGAGCTAAAGATGTGGTTCTCTTAATACAGGCAAAAATGTAGCTATTTTATTTGTGATCTAAGTGACATGAGGCCTTTCGAAGATGATTTCTTGCAATTCTCTTTCTACTTAACTTGTGAATGTCAAGTTTAGTGATACTGTTGCTTATTTTAAGAAATGTCGGTAAACTTGATTCAGATTCATCTGCCCTCAATGATATTTATATTTTACTTAAGGTTAACATCAGTCATTAATATTGAGGAAAATAGGGAATGGACTTTCCTTCTTCTCATGTTTTACTTTAGGATAGTGAAGCTCCTCCCAACTGCCTCCCGCAACTCTGTTCCAACATTTCCAGTGTGGAAATAATTTAGGAATCCGTCAACTCTAAATTTCATAATTGAGAGTTTCATCAGCTACTCAGTTAGTAATTTTAGACAGCCTATAATAGTGTACAATAAACTATTCTGATGTAAGTGGAAAAGATTTTGTCTCCCTTCTGTACTATAATTCACATATTTATGGGCTTTCGATGTTCCTAGATATCCGTGGAATACAGGAGTTTTTGGACAAAGTATCTCAGCAGGGGATGGATGTTGCACTTCAGAAGGTAGAAAACAACATCAATAAAATGATCACTACTCTCTTTGATACCATGAGAATAGAGGAATTGAATCGCTATCGAGACACTCTTAGGCGAGCCATCCTTGTTATGAATCCTGCCACAGCCAAATCCTTCATTACTGAGGTAAGCAAAAATTGTCATGGGGTAGGGGTTGGGTGTAAAACTTAAATGCTTTGCAATGATCTCCACAGAGGAGGTGAAAATGAACAGCAGTGTGAGGGAATTAACTACACAACTCTCATTAACACTAATGGAGATCACACAGTGAATTCCTTGCTCATCTCATTTACCCCATACTGTCCAGTTAATTGCTGAGTATGTTCGCATTTATATGTATTTAGGCACATAGCCAGGAAAGTTTTAAGAAGTCTTATGGGGGTTTAAAAGTGCTGTTGACCTGAATGAATCAAGCAAGTTCAAGAATAAATTCACAAGTGCATAACTGTCTAACTAATCCTTAATTTTTTTTTCAAGTTAAAATTTTACTTCTGAGAGAAGATTTACCTGAATCAGGCCATTATTGCCTAAACGTGGTTACTTTCACAAAAACGTATAGCAGATTTACTTCTGCTCTTTGAACTCTGTACCAAGACAATAATTAAAACTGTCTGAAATTCTACAGTGATGACCACTGTACTTTTTATGATGCTGCATCCTCAAATTTTTAATCACAACTGTTCATTTGACTTAAAGCTCTGAAACTTTGTAAAAATGCAATTAAGACTGTCTAGTGTGATTGATATTATACTTCTATTTTCTGAAATGTGTGCTATTGCCTTGCAAAGGATTATTGTCAAGACATTTTCACCTTACTTCAAGTTTTAAATTTCATACAGTGATAGAACTTTCACATGGGTTTTATTGTTAGTGTTTTTAATTTGGGTGACTTTATTTGATTGATACTTTTTTCCTCATTGCACCATTATGCTTCCTTTAGCTCCTGAAGTATCACTGTAAAGCCTGCAAATTAGGAATGTGTTAGAAGTTCTTTGACAGTCTATAATATAATTGGATCAAGGAACTTGAAGCAGAATATAAATCAATAAGAAGAGTAAAGCTTGTGAAAACTGTCAATAATACCTATTTTTATGTTAATAGAGAACTTTGTTATGCAGTTTAGGGACAAATATAAAACTTCTACTTTTTGAGTTTAGCAAATGACATAGGATCTCATTGAACCACTAGATTTTCCCTTAAGAGAGAGAATATTTCCAATTCTACGGGAGTTGGTTTTTTCCTTCAAGAAACACAAAATCTTTTAGAAGATTGAAAACACATACACAGAGACATATAATATAAATTGGAAAGTTAAAATTGCGATAGCTGAGGATGAAGTATCTGTGGTCATTTCTGGCTAGGAGATCAGAGAAGACTTCACTGAGAGGGTGTATATCATGGGTAGAAATTCGTAAGAGAGAAATGGTATATAACAGATAAATTAATATAAATCTATCTCAGCCACTTTCTGGTCATGTGTGTGGGCAAATTGCTTAACATTTCTGAGCCTCCATTTCATCATCAGTGAAATGGAAATAATACTTCTGATTTCAACATATTAAGAGTATAATACAGATTAAATATCCCGTAATATGCCTTAAAAAGGGGAGGCTTGGCACCTGGTAGGTGCTCAAGAAATGGTAACTTCTAGATCAGTTTTTTCTAGCATGTATCTGACACATAGCAGATGCTGAAAAACGGCTTGCTAAAGTGAAAATAAAAAAGACGAGCAAACCCAAAGGCCTTGGCTGTATGCTCAGAGTAGATGAAAAGCAGCATACATGAAGAAGAGCTGTGGCACACAACGTGTGGAACATGGCTGTCTACCAGATGGCAAAGGCCCTTGAGAGCCAGGGTAACAATTCATGTATCTCTAGTAAGCAGGTGGAAGTTATGGGCTGAGAAAGAGGGAGACCTGACAGGGCTTTTGCTACAGAGAGCCTATTGGGGGAGAGCCTTAGGAAGTAATGTGCTCTGTTTCAGACAGAGAAGACGAAAGTGTATATGGGTCTGGTGGTTATGGGACACAAGATCACAGGAGTGAGTCACTCAGGGGCAGGTTGTTGGAGTTCATCTGGCCAGGAGATGGAGAACGAGAGAAGCTTGAGGTTTTTAAACTGGGTCCTAGAAGATCATGGTTCTGTATTTATTTGCTAGAGCTGCCATAACAAAATATCACCAATTGGGTTGCTTAGACACAGAAACTTATTGTCTCACAGTTCTGGAGGCCGAAAGTCCAAGGTTAAGATTCGAGACAGGGTTGGTTTCTTCTGAGGGCTGTGAAGGAAGGCGCTGTTTCAGGCCTTTCTCTTTGGCTTATAGATGGCTGTCTTCTCTATGTCTCTTCCCATTGTCTTCCCTCTCTGAGGTCTGTGTATCCACGTTTCCCTTTTACGTAAGTACATCAGTAATTTTGGATTAGAGCTCACTCTAATGAGCTCATCCTAACTTAATTATCTTTGTAAAGACCTTACCTCCAAATAAGTTCATATTCTAAGGTACGGGGTGTTGAGACATCAACATCTGAAAGAAGGGAGACTATACAAGCCCATAACAGATGTCCTTAATTGTTATGAGCAAAAAAGGCAGAGGAGTAGGTTTGAGAGTTCAATTTGGAACATGTGAAATTTGAGCTAGCAGTGGACTATTCGGGTGGTCGTAACTATGTTTTTGCACTTTTATATTACTAACTATCTTCTTACTATTACTTACTACCTTCTTTTCTAATGTCATTAAAACCAGTGAACTCATTCAATCCTCATAAAAAAAAAAAAACCTTTGAGCTGGTATTGTCATCGTAATAACTTCGTATAGCATACATTATACGAAGTTATACGAGCTGCAAGTATGTGGATTCTGGGTTCTCTATTTTGTTCCATTGGTCCATGTGTCTGTTTTTCTGCTAATACCATGTTGTTTTGGTTACTATACCTTTGTAGTATAATTTGAAGTCAGATAGTATAGTGCCAATGGCTTTATTTATTTATTTGTTTGTTTATTCCTCTGGATTGCTTTGGTTATTTGCAGTATTTTGTTGTCCATATAAATTTTAGGATTGTTTTATCTATTTCTGTGATGAATGTTACTGGTAATTTGGGGGGATTGCATTGAATCTGTATATTGTTTCAGATAGTGTGGACATTTTCACCGTATTAATTGTTCTAATCCATAAGCATGGATTGTCTCTCATTCTTTGGTTTTCTCTTTAATTTCTTTCAGCAGTGTATTTTTCTCATTGTAGAGATCTTTCACCCACTTCTTTGTTTAAATACATTCCTAAGTGTTTTATTGCTTTTAACTATTAGATATTCATGGAGTAAGGTGTTTTATTACTTTGGAGCTGTTGCAAGTGGGCTTTTTTTTATTTCTTTCTCTGCTATTTCATTGCTGTTGTGTAAGAACGCTACTGATTTTTGTCTATTTATTTTGCATCTTGCAACTTTAGTGAGTTTGTTGGGATATAGTTGTTCATAATAGTCTCTAATGCTTCTTCGTATTTCTGTGGTATCAGTTGTGATGTCACCTTTTTTATTTCTGATTTTTGTTGTTTGTGTCTTCTCTTTTCTTAGTGTGTCTAGCTGATGGTTTGTGACCCGAGCTGCAGAGCCATCTGTAGTAAGGGAAAACCACTCTGCCTCTGGCTGCAGGGGCAAAGTGTGTAACGGCGGAAGTGTCTAGGCAGGAGCTTATCATAGATGATATCCTGAAGGAGGTGCTTTCTGAGTTGAGCATTAAAGGACATGTGGAATTGGATCAGACAGGGAGCTTTCTAAGCAGCAGGAAGACAGTCAGCAAAAAGCACAGAGACAGACAGAGGATGAAGCAAGATTGCAAAGGGTCAGGGAAGGAATAAATGGAGGTGGATATGTTGACTACTCTGTTGAGAAGTTTGGTAATGAAAGTAAAAATAAATTATGCATAAAACTTTTTAAAAAGTTTGTGATGGATGCAAGAAACAGGAAAATCTGTTTTGTATTTAGGATAGAACAAGCTGAGCCTTTTTACACAGATCTTGGGAAAGCAACCAGTGAAAAGGGGAAGACTGTAGAATGGAGAGGGAATATCGGTGAGATGAGATCCCAGAGTGTTACTTAAGAAGCTCTCCCAGGGAAGGGCTACCCTTGACCAATAACCTAACATTGCTGTTTCAAAGGTAAATGAAGTTAGTTCACACTTCGTTAAAGGAATTTGCTTTGACCAGTCTTGTGTTCTTGATAACCAATTTCAACCCACGTGAACTTGACATGTATTCTCTCCTTGGCTTCCTACTCTTGACTCTGAACTTTGGTACTTGTAATAATCTACTGCCTCCACCTTTGTTCCCAACCACATAAAATCTATGTTTGTGATTTTTCCTGAGATATTTCTCTGCCTTCTCCTACTCAGGCACCATTTTTTTTTTTTTTTTTTTTTTGGTAACTTGTCTTTTACAGTTGTTAATGTATGTCTCCAAACTGTGGAGAAATTTATTCCACACTGGTCTCCAGCAGTGATGCAGGAATTACAGAAGGCGTGTGAACACCCCCAACCCATCCTCAGTGGGTTATACTGTTCTGTGATGTGCACAGTGCTTCCTGTTTCTCAGTTAACTGTTCTCAGACACTTACCAGCTTGCTTCTGCTGTCCCATGGGTTCTTAGGAGTATTTCCTCCACTTAGGGAATAGGCTGACCCTGATAGTGATAGAAGCAGTTCATTCAAAAGGCAGGAAGCACTGAATTCAAAAGAATGCACGAAAGTTCTGCAGACACAAAGAGGAATAGTTTCTGAGTGACCTAGAGGATCACTCAGTCTAGTGAAGGAGGCAGGCATATAACTAAAAGATAAAATGTGAAGGGAAAATGCTGTAATAGGGCCGGGTAAATGGTGCTCCAAACTCCCATAGGTGAACTGACTAACTCTGCAGAGAGGTTGGCTGGGGTCAGGACAAATTTCACACATAAGTTGCTTCACTAGAATCTCGAAAAATGTATAAGAATTTGTCAGTCAGACAACAGCCAGCTCGTTCTACTTCTTTCTACTTCTAGTTATTTTCAGAAGGAATTACTTTATAATTTTTAAAATTTAATTTTTATTTACCTTTATAATACTCTGTGTATTCATATGGTTCAAAATTTAGAAGGCTTA